AGCTTGGGCAGGCAGAATGCGTGAGGGCTCCAATCCAACTTCCTGGCTGCTGTGGCTCTAGTCAGAGACTGATGGCACAACAGGTTTCAGGGTTTTGGGGTAAGCAACCCTTAACCCTTTTCAGCACGGACTGGGTGCACCCTAAACCCATTTAGGACTTAGGACTTCGAGGTTGGAATGCGGGGTTCGACATTCAGGGTGGTTTTAGGAGAATAGAGGAGCCTTGATACCTAGCTTCGGACCATACCTGCTCCATGTTGAGAAGGGCCACCACGCACTGCAGATTGCTGCGATAGAGGATAGGCCGGATAGGCCTGTACTTCCAGATTTCTCCTAAATCCGAGGTCCATGCTTTGGCCAGAAAGGTCCTATCTGTATGCTGTTGTAACATGTGCTATAGATTTCTGAGCTCAGCATAACCTTCTTCTGATAAGTCCAAAACTAGTGCCATAGGCACAAATAATCATTCCACTCTTCTTTTCCATTCCATACGAAACCATACTGTACCATACAATACCATAGTACACTTCGAATACCAGGCGAGCATGGAGAAAGCTGGCTGGACGATCTTGCGTGATACGCCGAGGCTGGAGAATGTGGGGGTGCGGGCTGAGGGTTTGTCTCGGTCTAAGGTTGCTCTGGGCTCAGGGTCTGGGTTAAGGGTTCGGGACTTTCGCCTTCCAGGCTTTGAGGAAGGCCTCCAAACTTGAGGGGTTTAGGGGTTGCAGGGATTAGGGTTTAGGGTTTAGGGTTTAGGGGTTGCGGGGATTAGGGTTTAGGGCAGTTTAGGGTTTAGGGGTTTGAGTTTGGGTGTGGGGTTTAAGGGGGTCTCGGCTTGGGGCGTACATAGGGCGTCAAGGCGCTGCACACGGCTTTGCTTGGGGCCTCTGCAGCTGCCCGGGCTTTCCGTAAGACCTCCACGTGATTCAGGAAAAATCGGGCAAGTACTTTCGCATGTCAACGGCATGGAAGAAATCTTAGGAGAGCTGTGTTCCTTCATGTAAGGGATGCGGGGTGAGAGCTGGCGCCAAAAAAATGTCGTCTGGGTGCGATGCAGCCTGTCACTTCTGGCAAGGGAAGTGCCAATCCATCGGGCGTCCTCGCCTCTCTCGCCTTCGTCACACGGGAGTGTGATGTCTTGTCAAGGTGTGTGCGCACCTGGCCGACAATGCGCACCCAGGGCTGCATATTGCAATGGAGCTCTTAGGTCTGAGCAAAGTGGCCATTTGTGGCTCTTAGACTCGCAATGGACTTCATTCAAGCTCAAAAGTCGAAAGACTTTGCGAAAGATGTCACCGAAAACCACACTGCCAGCAGAGACCAGAGCCTACAGATTTGCGAGATACAAGCAGCTGCTAATGAACATGTAAGACTGAACAGTTATTGCTCATATCCTCTTCCTCTATAGAGCTCCGTAGCAGAATTGCATCACAGCTTACATAGAACATGTAGAGGAACTCAAAACTCCCAAAGCCCAAACACCAAATAGATCCGTTCTCGTAAGCCTTGTAACCCTTATGGTAGCCCTCATTTCGAGTAGTATCCCTTGTGGGAAGGTTTTCTCTTTTCAGAACCCATGTCCCTTACAGACGCACCTTGACAAACTCCTCGGGGAGTATCTCAAACCTGGCAGGACGTCTTGGCATTTCGGATCTTCGGGAAAAGGCTGCAGGGCTAAGGGTATCGGAACGGTCGCATCTTTGTCTCAGAGACAGTTGCGGTACAGCGGGGTTCGAACCACTGAAATCCTTTTGCCGCACCTCGGGATCTAATACGGGTCCTCATTTGCAGGATCCCATTTCGAGTCAGAAATAGGCGCGTGCTTTTCTGAAGCGCCCGTGTGTGTCGCCTTCCCAAAACGTGCATGCGGCATCTTCGCCGATCCCATGCCCGAGGTGCCGGAGCCCGACAAATCCCTAAACCCTAGCCCTATTAAAGCCTGAACCACTAATCGCTCATGTAGGGGCCTTCATAAATAGAATAGGGTTTTGGGGCCCATTATACTACAAATATATAAAGAGCCCCCAGAATAGTATTAGTATTGATTTCGGCCCCTACATTACCCTTTTTGCATCCAGGCCTATTGCAACTACCCTTTTACACCTGGACTACGCATATGCCAGCAACCGAGGCGCATTGCAACTACCCTAAACCCTAAACCCTAAACCCTAAACCCTAGACCCTAAACCCTACATTACCCCAAACCCTTCAACTCCTCATCTGCCATGGGAAACGTGGCCGCTGCGCTCCAGCGACCGCTGCTTTGCTGACAGCCTCCCCGTCTTGCCGTGATTCTCCTGGCCTCCCGTTTGGGGGCACTTAGGGTTTAGGGTTTAGGGTTTAGGGTTTAGGGTTTAGGGTTTAGGGTTTAGGGTTTAGGGGACTTAGGGTTTAGGGTTTAGGGTTTAGGGTTTAGGGGACTTTGGGTTTAGGGTTTAGGGTTTAGGGTTTAGGGTTTAGGGTTTAGGGTTTAGGGGACTTAGGGTTTAGGGTTTAGGCG